GGCTGCTCTTTCCTTTCCAAGAAACTCACTTCGCTGGTGTTGACTCGGGTTCTCATTCACCCGAGCCTCTCGTTGCCTTTTCAGAACTCGCGAACTTTGAGAAGAACGTGAACCAGGCTATCCACAAGTACAACGCCTACAGGTGCGACAGCGCGATGCGCGTTCTGGGTGGCGGTTAGCAGGGCTGAGGGTCCGTGCGCATTTGAGCCATCTGCACAAGCTGGGGATTCAAGAACCAAAGCTACTTTACCCAGTAATTCTAAAAGAACTTAGGCAGAGCCCTTTAGGGTCGTTTTAGTGAAATGCCCAATTTTGGTTGACGACAGGTGTGGCCTGATACGTATTTTCCCTGTTATCAAACGTGAGTTACTGGAAACGCAGTGTTTTTAGCCCCGTGAAAGACCATGGACAGTGATGCGTAGTGATTCAGTGTATAAAAGAAATTAAAATAAAGACAATGGACAGGTCTGTACTGTGAAAGAAATGCAGTTCGAGATCGCATCTTTCCGTATGGTTGAACTGTGGCTGATCCTGTCACTTTTGTGGAGTCCCATCCTGTCCTTTGCTAGGGGTCCTACCCATCCATTATTCTCACACCCGCCTGCCCCTGCTCTTCAGCCTATAAATATATTCAAGCCCTGTGACCATCAAAAACAAGAACAAAAGAATCACCTCTAGTAGTACCTATCGAAATCTTTCCTCACCTTTTTGAATAGTCTTTGTGCCTTCCCTGAGCTTCCCATCCCTAGTCATTCCTTACCTCCGAACATCCTGCCATTGCTCTGAAATGCACTCACCTATGTTTCATCTTACTGACTCCCATTGCATTCTGCACTAGCTCATTCCTGAAGTCACCCTTTGGCTTCTGTGATGCCAGTCCCTTCTGTTCCTTCCTCACTGCTTTTTCACCTTTCATTGTGGGTAGTTCCTAGCAGTCTACCCTCAGCCCTCTTTTTTTTTTGGAGAGGTTTTTGCTATAAGGTGTGTGCACTTGCCAGACAGACAGATAGAAAGCGAGAAATCACCCCCCAGAGGGGATGGCCATGCTGCAGTCCCTTCTCCTCCATTCTCCTCTCGGGATCTTGGGCACGCATGCACATGTGCCCGGCATGTGTTTAAGCCACCGGGTCCAGAACTCAAACCGCAGTCGACTACGTGGGAGTCCAGCAACATAGCCATTACGCTAACTGCTGGTCCCCCAGCCCTCTTTTCTCACGCTCATGCTTTCCCCAGCAAATCTTAGCATTCCTGACTTGGAATACTAACGCTAGTGACACCAAGTCAGTATTTCACTGAACTTTTCCCCAGATTTTTAGCCTTGAGCTCAATTCCTTTCTCTCTAGGGATTCTCTCAATTCCTTTCTCTTTGAATTACCGCACAATGCAATTCAAAGCTGATTATATCCCCTCCTTTCCTTATTTGTGACTTCTGTGGAACTGTACTGTCATGCACACATTTGATGATCTAGAAATCATGGGGATATTCATCCCTATATTGTTTGCATCTTCGGAGAGGGGGGTGTTTAGTTTTGAAGGAGCTCACCGGGGTAGCGCAGTCTGGACAAAGGAAGCAGTGTGTCAAGGCACTGAGATGTGGAAGGGTGTAACATTTTCTAGAAGTCAGGTAAGGTATGGTCTCAGGGAGAAATGAGTCTGGAGAAGCAGGCGATGCCCTACCATCCCTGCATGCTCCTCCCACCCCATACATATTTCTCCTGTTTGTGGCCAAAGCATTCTTTTGAAATAGTTAGCTGACCTTGTTCTTCTTCGATGCCAAATGACTATTTTCTCTTTACCGTGATAAAGCCCAAATAATGTCACTGCATGTGGAAGGTCCAGTTCTTCCCTTTCAGGCTTCTGCCTCAGTGCCAATTATCTAGAAATACCTGCTTTTCCTGAAATAATTCCCTCCATAACTACCTTGATGCCGCTCCTTAGCCTATAAATGTCATGTGTTCTTCCCAGGCTCATCATCAGTCATATGCAGATAGAGAAATTGAAATGCAAATCAAAGGGTTTGTATGTGCTGGAATAGAATGAAAATCCAAGATTCCGGGCCACGTGGTGGCACAGTTGGACCCACACGTCAGAGGACCTCACGATCAGAGCTGGCTGAGACATCATATATGACAGAAAGACCCGGTTGCATGGGCCTGTCTCTCTGTCTCATTCTCTCTGATGGAAGAAATAAGTTAACTTAAAAGAAAATTCAGGTTCTGGGAACCAGCAGTTAGCGTAATGGCTATGTCGCTGGACTCCCACGTAGTTGACCACGGTTCGTGTCCCGGACCCGGTGGCTTAAAACTCACGCCGGGCGTGTGTGCGTGCGTGCCCAAGATCCCGAGAGGAGAATGGAGGAGAAGGGATTGCGGCGTGACCATCCCCCCGGGGGATGATTTCTCGCTTTCTGTCTCTATGTCTCTCTGTCTGTCTGGCGAGCGCACGCGCCCTACAGTGAAAATCTCTCCAAAAAAAAAAAAAAAAGAAAAAGAAAGAAAATTCAGGTTCTAAAGACCATCTAGTGTTTATGCTTTTGGTTGTCGCTCCTCATCAGCAAGTCTAAACTACATTTGGTGATGACATGGACAGGAGACCATCTGTGAGCTTCTGGGGAATACACCATCTGTCACCAGGTTACAGAGCTGGCAGTGTGCAGAAGTGGGCAAGACTCACAGGCTACTGCTTTAGGCTGAACTGAATGGGAGCAAAGGAAAAAAGCTGGTGTGAAGACATAAAGGAATACATTTTAAAACCATCAATTTAAAAACAGCTATTTATAAACTTATTTAGTGTCTATCAGGTCAGATACAGCAGCGTATTTTTATGAAAGAATTATGAACAATTTCTAAAAACTGGCTGTTTTCAAAAAGGACCCAATGCTATTTTCTGCTTACTACTAAAAAGGAAAGGAGTGCTGGTCTTCTGAATCGCTCCAGTGTGACATACAGTTTACATATTATACCCTCAAATGTGAGGGTTTTCAAGATACTTTGAAAGTTAGAAAGACAGTAGATCGTCAGCTCGTCTGCTGTGTTTTACATGGAGGTGTAAAATTATCTGGGTGAAAGTGTAAGGTAGCTGTGTGTGCGTGCGTGCGTGCGCGCACGTGCGTGTGTTGTAGTGTAAGAAAAATTAAGGCCTTGCTACATTTCTAATTGGTTTTTCTTTTTTTCTTCCTTATAGAAAAGCAGCATCTGTTATAGCAAAGTATCCACACAAAATAAAGAGTGGTGCAGAAGCTAAGAAATTGGTAAGTTTAGTGCAGAGTTCACACGTAAACAAAATTGATGGGTTCCCACAAAACTGAACTCCCCTGTCCGAAGCTGCCTTGCCCCACACTGGCGGATGTCAGTGCTTCTGAGCTCTCAGAATAATACTGGCTGTTTCAGGCACACTTCTTCATGCGCTACACTTTTTATTTGGGTGAGAGTAGATTAAAATGTGTTCTAAATATATGTAGTTATAATTCTATTTTCTATTTTTTTCTCTACTTCATCATGTGTACTGGTTCTTACTGTCACATTGAATTTCAGCTGAGTGTGTCCTTCAGAACCTGGAGACAGAGTAGTGCTAACACGTCTGTTCCCCAGCACCTCTCTGACCCTCAGGTGCAGGGATTTATTCGAGTTAGGGAGAGTTAGTATTCCCCAAAGAGATCTAACATACTACTAAGCCTGTGAATAAACCCCTCTTCTAGTATTGCATTAAGCCCTGCTCTCTGTAAAAGTAATTTTCGTAAAGCCCTGGGTGATAGTAGTGTCATTCTGTTAGTAGTGCCAGGAGGAGGGTCTCCAGGGTGATATTTCTTTGTAATAATATCACTAAGTGATATTATTATTTGTAATAATATCACTAAGAATATCTGGGGGGTACCAGCAGTTAGCGTAATGGCTATGTCGCTGGACTCCCACGTAGTCAACTGCAGTTCGCGTCCCGGACCCGGTGGCTTAAAACTCACTCTGGGCACATGTGCGTGCGTTCCCAAGATCCTGAGAGGAGAATGGAGGAGAAGGGATTGCGGCGTGACCATCCCCCCGGGGGGTGATTTCTCGCTTTCTGTCTCTATATTTCTCTCTGTCTGTCTGGCGAGTGCACGCACCCTATAGCGAAAACCTCTCCAAAAAAAAAAAAAGAATATCTGGGAAATATCTATCTTTTGGTAGTCAGATTGTTCTGTCTCATCTAAATCTCACTAATTCAAAGTTTCTTAATTACAAGGGCCATATCTTATTCCTCTCGTTAAAGATGTGAAACTGAAATAGCTTTTGATTAATGCAGGTTCTCATAGTTAACGACTGTCTTCTGTCATTCTTTTTTTTTTTTTTTTTTTTTTTTTTAAATTTTTGCTGTAGGACACTACACACCAGAGAGGGAGGGAGGGAGAAAGAGAGAGTGAGACATCACCTCCAGGGGGGATTCGACCATGCCATAATCCCTTCTCCCGCAGTCTCTCAGGATTTTGAGCATAAACACACATGCACCTGGTATGATTTTCAAGATGTTGGTTCGGGACTTGAACTGTATAGTCAGCCATGTGGGTTCTAGCACCTTAACTTCCATGCCACTTGCTGGCTCCTTTTGTTGTTTCTTACCTTTAGTGTTTCATAACAGTCCTCTGGAATTTGAGTATTAATATTTGGTTGTCCCAGGACCAGCAATTGGCGTAATGGCTATGTCGTTGGGCTCCCATGTAATCGACTACAGTTCAAGTCCTGGACCCGGTGGCTTAAACTCACGCTGGGTACATGTGAATGTGTGCCTAAGATCCCGAGAGGAGAATGGAGGAGAAGGGATTGTGGCGTGGCCATACCCCTGGGGGGTGATTTCTCGCTTTCTGTCTTTCTGTCTCTCTTGTCCTTCTGACGAGCACGCGCGCCCTATAGCAAACACCTCTCAATAAAGACTTTTTTGATTGTCCTTAATGTTTTCATGAGAGCTTCAATCTCGTGGTGTACCTTCTAGTACATACCATAACCGTCCTTCCATTTTCACCCTCAAAAGTCAGAATATTACCATAATCTTGTGCATCTTGTGATTGAATTACAGATTATCGGTATTAATCCTGTGCTGTTATCTGAACCTTGAACTCGTTACTTAACACAAATCATGCTTTGGTATATAGGTTTTAAATTCTTTGTGTCATAAACAGTTCTCAGCATCGGCATATCCTTCTCACGTGGGCTAGCTGAGTAAATTATAAACATGGTAGGCTTTAATGCTAATTCTGAGTTTCTGTCTTGTTGAACTGACTTAGTGTCAACCCCAGGAACCACTCCTTCTTCCCTGCTGTTCCCCTTTTACCATCACTGAACTTCCTCTTTTGTAGTTACTGCAAACAGCCTGCTCATTTGTTAGAGAACAACTTCTGAAAAGCACTGATATACTTCATCCCAAATCTGAGCTTATGCCATATCCCTAAAAAGAGTACAGAAGTAGTCAAAACTACTTTTGTTTAAGACTGGACTTAATATAAGACTCTCACTGTAATTTCTTTTCACTATTATTTTAAGAATCACAGACCTACTGTCTAGCCCTTACATTTCCAGAATAAGGAATTTGCCCTTTATTTCTTAATGTTGGGTATAGAAAATATGCTGGGTTGGCATGCTATCAAGTAAAATTAATGTAGCTCTGTCTATAGAGGAAAAAACAATTACATTCTTTATCCTCCAGTGTAGGAAATGAGAAGCCTGAGCAGTTTCCCTTTTCTAATCTTGTGTACTTTCTAAATCTGTTATTTTCTAGTCGGTGCTATTTTCAGAACTTGGCTATGCATTCAGTTCGTTGGGCATTTATTAAACATTGAATAATCAGGAATACAGAAAGGTGAGCTTAGGGCCAGGAGAGGGTAGGGAATGACCAGCACACCTATACCTGTCGAATGTTAGTTACGAAGGACCAATAAACATGAAAAAAATGTTCAATTCCACGATAATCACAGTTTAAATTAAAGCAGCATACTATCAATAGTATCTACCCGATTATCAAATATAACATGCAGTGTGGGTAAGGATGTGAAAAGAAAGGATGCTCGTTTACTGCTGGTAGAGTGTGGCTGTTACGCTTTCTGGAAACATCAAGTGGCAGGATGTTAGTGAGTATGTGGATCCTTTGACTCCTCAACTCCACTTTGAAGAGACCAGTAGCAACAGCTGTGTACCTGGATTCACTCGCTCATAGTTTCTGAGCCCTATATGCCAGGCACTAGGGGTCAGGCAGGGGAAAGACAGAATCTCTGCTCTTTCCAGCTTATGCCCTAGAGCAAATCTGTCCAGTCCAGCAGCCGTGAGCCACCTTTGGTGATTCTTCAGAGTAGCTAGTGCAACTGAAGAATTGACTTTTTACTTTTAATTAGTTTAAATTTAAGTTGTTATTTGCAGCTAGCGTACCAGCCTGGGCTGCAGTTCCATAGTGGTGGTCCTCAAAGTGTAGTACCAATGAGATTGACAAGTGATTTCTTTTTTATTTCTAAGAATTATTTTATTTATTTATTTTTTTTCACATGAGTTTTGCCAGAGAAAGAGAAAGCAAGTTTCCAGGTCCAGGACTTGAAACATGGTCAACCGTGTGGGAATTCCAGCACTAAGACCACCATGCCACCTACTGGCCCCAATTTTTTTTTTTTTTAATTATTTTTGTTTTGGAACATGAGTACTCACCAGAGAGAGATGGGGAGAGAGAGAGAGAGAGAGAGAGAGAGAGAAAGAAAAGGAGAAATCACTCCCCCAAGGGGATGGTCATGCCACAGTCCCCTTCTCCATTCTTTTTTCAGGATTCCAGGCCTATATGCACATGTGCCTAGCATGATTTTCAAGCCACTGAGTCTGGGACTTGAACTGCAGTCAGCCGTGGAATCCAGCTCCTTAACCTCCATGCTATCTGCTGCCCTGACAAGTGATTTTAATATTTTTTATGCAGCTCCATATTTTCTAATTTTTTCTACAAAAAGTAATTAACATTGGTTTATTTAACTTTAAATAAATGAATGTTATTTGCAATTATTTTATTAGGTTTTTTTAAACAATCATTTAATAACTTTATTTATTTTAATTTGACCAGAGAGATGGTGGAGGGGGTGGAGAAAGTGAAAAAGCAAGCCGCCAGGTCTGGGGCTTAAACCGCAGTTGACCATGTGAGAGTCCAGCACCCTTCACCACCCTACTACCTGCTGGTTCCTAGGTTTTCTTTTGTCAGTTGTTTGTAAACATTTGCCTCTAAGAGAATTCTTTTTTACCTGGGTTCAGTTTTCTGCTTTGTTTATTTCAAAACTTGTTACATGTGGTAATTTGCTTTTCATTTCTCACTTTTTACTTTATCTTTTAGTGATTTGGTAAGCATTACACTTGTATGATTTTTGTATTTTCAATTTTCTTTGTAGCCTGGAGTAGGAACGAAAATTGCTGAAAAGATTGATGAGTTTTTAGCAACTGGGAAATTACGAAAATTGGAAAAGGTAAAATTTTAACTTGTTTACTTATTGGTCATTGCCCCCCTTTGTGCAAATAATTTGATATCATTGCAAGGTAGTTGGTCTCACTAGAGTCTCAAGGCAAAGAGCTTAGTGGAGTTTATGGCTTTCAATATTCTATTTGAAGACATTTGACTGCTGGGACCAGCAGGTAGCATAGTGTCACGTCGCCAGACTCCCACATGGCCAAATGAGTCCCGAATCTGGTGACTTGAAACACACCAGGCACGTGCATGCACATGCCCAAAGTCCCAGGAAGAGAAGGGAGGAGAAGGAATTGTGGCGAGTCCAGCCTCTCTGAGGAGTAATTTCTCACTTTCCTTCTCACTGTCTCTGTCTCTCTCTCTCCAGCAAGTGCATGCATCCTAAGGCAAAAACCTCTAAAAAAGTTTGACTATTATTCCTATAAAACATTCAACTGTTTTATGTGACTTTTAGGAGACTGTTAGCACATTTTTATTACCATTTAGAAAAGGTATTATAAACTTAAAGATGATCTTTTAGAATATCTATGCTTAAACTCTTCCAAGCATTTTTACAGTTTCGCCTCACCCTACTGATAGTGGTTATATACTTCTGGTCTTTTATGAGTGGGCCTTTGAAAAGCACAGTGCCAGGTAAATTAGAGATGAGACATCTTCAGCTGCTCTGTTACTCACCTGTGACCACATAGCTTATGTACAAGCGCCCTGTGAGTTGTCCAGGGAAATGTAAGTGGGTCTTCACGTCTCTGAGCAGACTCGTGTATTTACAAGAACATCTGAGTCTCCATAGCATTCCTAAACCATTGTTGGACTTTTGTTTTCCTTAAAGATTCGGCAAGATGATACCAGTTCATCCATCAATTTCCTCACTCGAGTCACTGGCATTGGGTAAGAACTTTTGTTTTTTAAAAAAATATTGATGATGATGATGATGATGTTGGTTTGATCAGAGAGAGATAAAGAGAGGGAAAATGAGAAAACAAACTACCAGATCCAGGACTCAAACTGCGGTCGTCCATGTGGGAGTCTAGAACCTTAACCACCACACCACCTGCTGTCCCCAAGAACTGTTTTTAAAAAGAGATAAGAGTAGGTCGATTTTATTTTCATGTCAGCCAAACTAAGAGACATACTGTTTCTTTCAAAACCTGTGCTTATCCACCTTGCACCTTTGCCCGTTCAGCTCACCCCTCCATAGCTTATGTGCCAGAGGTCAGTTCTTCAGGTTCAGCCTCTACTGTGACAGCCCTGTTCAAGGCAGATGTTACTTACGTCATGAAATCAATTGGATTCCCCTGCCAGAAGTTGTCTCTCCTTCCTCTGACTCCACTAACATTTGGTCTGTGTGCACCTGTCACCTGCCCTAGATTGTGTGTCTTTTTTTTTTTTTTTTTTGGAGGGGGGAGAGGTTTGTTTTATGTTTTTTGGGTTTTTTTGTTTGCTATAGGGTGCATGCACTCGCCAGAAAGAGAGAGACAGAGACTGAAAGCAAGAAATCACCCCCCAGGGAGGATGGCCATGCCATAATCCCTTCTCCTCCATTTTCTTCTCAGGATCTTGGGCACACACACACACGTGCCCGGCGTGAGTTTAAGCCATCAGGTCCCGGACTCAAACCGTGGTCAGTTACATGGGAGTCCAGCAACACAGCCTTATGCTAACTGCTGGTCCTAGTGTCTGTTTTGCTTTCCCAAGTGTGATATTTACCTTAAGCCCTTAAGCAATTAAGCTTTTTTCCATAGCATCTTATACATTTGGAACAAGCACTCAAGGTTTTTTTTTTATTCTTTCCATTTCTGCTGCAGGGTGTGTGCACTCACCAGAGAGAGGCAAAGAGACAAAAAGTGAGAAATTACCCCCCGGGGGATGGCTATTCTCTTCTTGGGATTTTAAGCATGGACTCACATGTGCCCGGCATGATTTTCAAGTTGCTGGATCTGGGATTCAAACCACACAGTTGGCTTTGTGTGGTCTGGTGACTTAACCTCCATGCCACCTTCTGGCCCCAACACTCAGGCATTTTTATCTGTTTAATTTTTTTTGCCATAGGGCACTTGTGCTTGCCAGAGAGAGGGGGGGGGGAAGTAAGTAATCCCCAGAGGTTGTGGCCACACAACCTTTCTCCTCCTGGAATGTTGGTCACATACGCACACATGCCTGGCATGATTTTCAAGTCGCCAAGTCCAGGACTCGAACCATGGCTGACCGTGTGGGTTCTAGTGCCTTAGCCACCACACCACTTGCTGACCCTGCCCTAGCTTTGTTTATTGGAGGAATCTTTCTCTTAAAATTTGATCTAGCACCAGAGAGGGCATCTTTGACATACAACAAAGTGAAGATTCATGTGGAAAATTAAGGCTGTGATGCTTTTCTTCTGTCTCATTTTTATGAAACAGTCATTGCTTTCGATATTTTTTGATTGTCCCTTTAAATGACATTTCCAATGAAAGTCAGTTTAAAATAAATTAAAATTCTTAAACATAGAATACTGAAAAGGCATGACTCCTTGGGGATCTGAGGTGATTATGAAAGTTTTATTAAAAGGTGTTTTAGAAACCATCTCTTATATTATCCTCTTTGCAGGCAAAAAGCCCCTGAAACTTAAATATAAAATTGAGTCCTATGTAGGGCTGGCAGATGGCATGGTGGTTAAAGTGCTGGACCCCACACGGCCGACTGGTTTGAGTCTCAGACCTGGCAGCATGCTTTCTCACTTTCCCTTTCTCTCTGGTCAAAATTTTAAAAACATTATAATAATAAATATTTTTTTAAAAAAGGAAAGAAATGAGTAATGTGGTAGAGACAGGATTAGAACCTGTGTTTTCTGGGACCAGCAGATGGCATAATGGTTACATCGCTGGACTTCCACATAGTTGACCAGAGTTCAAGTCCCGGACCCAGCAGCTTGAAAATTTAGACCAGGCATATGTACATGTGTGCCCAAAATCCCAAGAAGAGATGGAGGAGAATGGATTGTGGTGTGACCATCCCCCTGGAGGGTGATTTCTCACTTCCTGTCTCCCTGACTCGCCAGCAAGCATACTCACCTTATAGTAAAAATCTCTCTCTAAGCAAAATGAAACGAACCCCCCATGTCTTCTGACTACAATTCAGTTCTGTGGATATTTCTTCTGTGCCACATTGCCTTCCTAACATCAGTACCTGTTTTTGTACCACACTATAATGCCATAACAATACCAATAATATTACCACTATAATGTTTGTACGAATTACTGAACTGTGTAGGTTAATTTGTCTTAAAACACTGTGTCCCTAAGATATTGTGCCTCTGTGTGTGTGCACATGCACGCTTCTTCTGTCCCCTGCTCCCACCTCATTATTTTGTACAGAGAGGAAGTCTAGACACTGGTCCTAGTGCCACCATCCCTAGATTTATAACCTTAGCAAGGCACTTCATCTTCTTACTTTCCATTATTTGTCCCTGTAAAACACGGGGAAGCTTGAATAATTCCTAAGGTTTCTTCTGCCCTGCCATTCTTTTGTTTGTTTGTTTGCCATAGGGCATGTGCACTTGTCAGAGAGAGACAGAGAAGAGAGAGAGAGAGTGGGAAAGTGAGAAATCGCCCCCCCGGGGGACGGGGGTGGCCAGGCCACTGTTCCTTCTCCTTCATTCTCCTCTCAGGACTTTAAGTTCACACATGCACACACCTGGCAAGTTTTGTAAACCACCGGGTGCAGGACTTAAACCACTCAATTAGCCATGTGGGATCCAACTGTCTTAACCACCATGTCACCTGGCTGGCCCAGGCCCCTGCCATTCTAGGTGAGCATCTTCAGTCATTCTTGGTGTCCTAATATATTTATGTAAGCATAGCAATCACACTTTTATAAACCTAAATCAGATTTATCAGTGTTCTGCTCAGTACCCTTTAATGGTTTCCCATTGCACTCAGAATGAAATCCTAACTACCCACCATGGCTTGAGGAGTAGTGTAGACAGTAGAGTGTGTCTCTGCGCACTGCCTGGTGGTAGTGCATGCCGCGCCCTACATCATTCTACCGTGCTGGCTTTTCCCTTTCTCCATCCGGCCAACTTTCTGCCTGCCTTAGGCCTGCCTTTGCACGTTTCCTTTGCTTCAAGTGCTTTCCGATTGATTGCCTAGGTAGCTATAGCTCTTTGTCATTCTAATCTCAGCTGAAAAGCTCAGCGGCCTTCACTCACCACCAGTCTGAAGTAGGACCCAGCACCCTGTAATGACACTTATTTTATTTGATCTTCCTGATATTTTTCTTGTTTGTATGTGTATCTATTCATTGCTCTACCCACTGGAATGTAAGTGGGTAAAGACCAGAGCTCTCGTTTATCTTATTCTTGCTGGAAAAGTATCTGGCACATAGTAGGACCTCACAAGCCGTAGCTGAACGAATGGATAGTTTTCCAGTGCCCATATTGTGTGTGGGCCTTAGGGCAGCCCACTACTTAGATGGCTCTTTCATGTCCAAGTACATAGCTGTCTTCCTAATAGTTGAGGCATCAAGAATTCTTACCCTGAAGAGAACTGAACATGACCAAAGTACTCACGCAGCATTTTACAGGTCTTGTTTAGCTTACAGCAGCACGTTATGTTTGACATGAGAAGGTACAGTTGGCTAACCGCTGAAAGGCTCTCAAATCTTACCTGATACTGAGATAATGCTTTCCTTTCTTCGTAGTCCATCTGCGGCAAGAAAGTTTGTAGAGGAAGGAATTAAAACGTTAGAAGGTGAGTATGACCATAGACCACTAATTCCAGACTAATGTCATCCTGAAGGACTGTGACTGCTTTAATAAGCTCAAAGTCGAAAGCCCATTCTTCTTTTTTTTTTTTAATTATTTTATTTCTTCTTTAATTTGACCAGAGAGAGATGGGGGGGAGGGAGAGTGAGAAAGCAAGCCACCAGGACTCAAATTATAGTTGCCCATGTGGGAGTTCAGCACCTTAACCACCACGCCACCTGCTGGCCCCCACGAAAACCCATTCTTAATCAGTTGGTACAGACGTTTTCTTTTCAATTTTGTAGTAACGAGTAGATGAAGGGTATAGTTTACATTTCCATCTTAAACAGTTTTAGATTTGTAACTAAGAAGAAAATCAAGAGCAAGAAGTGATTTTTTGGTTTAATGTCATTGGAAGAGCTGTTTTTTTTTTTTTTTTTTTTTTCAAGTTTTTGAAGATTTAAATTGCTGGGTCAGCCTGTGGTGTGGCTAAGGTGGCTGGATCCCACATGGCTGACTTTGTGGTTGAGTCCTGGAGCCAGTGGTTTGAGAAATATGCTGGGCACATGTACATGTATGTCCAAAATCCCAAAAGGAGAGAAAAGGAGGAGATGAGATTGCAGCCTGACCATCCTCCAAGAGGGTACTTTTCCACTCTCCCTCTGTCTCTCTTCGACAAATGCACATTGCCCTCCAGCAAAATTAAAAATATATTTAAATTGCCTTTGTTTCCTTAATAAACTATTAGACAACAAAGTCTTACATATCAGACTAAAGCTAAGTTTGTATATTGAGAAAGATTATGCATAAGATTTGCAATGCTTATCAAAGGAATTTTTGCTTTTCAAGAAGTGATAAAAATGGAGCTTATGTCAAGTAACTATAAAACATTTTTCTTAAACCTAATATTCCAACCCTTTAAATGTAACTTCCCTCTTCATACTTGTCAAGGGTATGAGCTGTATATGAATTCTTTACAGAACATCCATTGCATTTGAGGTTTAGTATTTGTGGGGTCATCTACTTGCAAGCAACCCCTATGGTTAGGTAGACAGGTATAGAGGCTGGCCTGGGTTTGAATTCTACCTCCACTGCCTTAGAATGGGTGACCTTGGGGCCGGCAGGTGGTGTGGTGGTTAACGTTGTTGGACTCCCAGACCTGGCAGTTTGCTTTCTCACTTTCCATCTTTCTCTCTGTCCCTAGCTGGTCAAAATGATAATAATAAAAATAAATAAAATAAAGAAAGTTAAATAAAACTTAAAAAAGAATGGGTGACCTTGGTGCTTCAGTTTTTCAGCTACAAAATGGGTATTTCTGCCTAAAACAATACAGTAATTTATGGAACGCACCTAGCAGAACACTTGGTATATAATAAGTACTTGGCAATAGTAACGGGACTCTATGAGACAGGGCTAATTGGTACTATTACTCATCTCCGAATGTGTATAAGTCACAGAGCTAGGAAGTGAGTTTTACCTGTGTGTCTCCAGGGCTGTGCTTGCTCTCTTTTTCTTATTTTTGTAATTTGCTGTAAGGCATGTGTGCTTACTGGAGAGAGGCACAGAGAGAGGGAGTGTGCTTACTGGAGAGAGACACAGAGAGAGAGAAAATGAGAAAGCATCCCCAGGGCGATGGCCACGCTGGAATCCCTTCTCCATCTTCTCTTGGGATTTTGGGCATGCACACACACTCACCCAGCTTGTTTCTCAAGCTGCTGGTCCAGGACTCAGACTGCACAGTCACGTGTGGGATCCAGCTGCCTTGACCACCATGCCACCGGGCTGGCCTGGCTTTCTGCTTTTCTGCTTGTAGCCTGCAGTTAATCTGAGTGAAACAACTGGCTAAAGGGGTCAAGAATTTGTAACCAATTTGTGTCAAGAATTTGAAAGCTATTCCATCATGTTTCTTAGCGTTGTCAAGGGTCCACTGTTCTGGTTTTTATATGATCATAAACTTCATAGATAAATAACTATTGATGTCTATATAACAAACTCAATATTTCATCTCATAGGCCAGCCCCATAGACTAGATGGTTAAGGGAGCTGGAGCCCACATGGCTGACCGCAGTTTGAATCCCAGGCGTGGTACCATGAAAACCACTCAGGGCATGCGGGCCGTATACCCCAGATCCCCGCAGGATGGAGAAATGGAGGAGGAGGGATTACAGCTTGACCATGTCCTGTTAGAGAGCACTTTCTCCTCCCCTCTCTGTGTCTTTCTGGTAAGTGCATGTGCTCTCTGTCAATTAGAACAAGTAAAGAGTAAAAACGATTTTATTCTCAGTCATGTTACTTTAGGGTGTTCTGTGTGCACACAACTATGGGAAATACCAAATGCTCCATGTATCATAAAGATACTTATTTTTCTCAATTTTGTATTTCCAGAGAAATGTATACATTTGTAAATGTAAGGGTAGTTGTAGGAATTGCTTTTAAGGAAGAGAGAAACAGAGAGAGAGGCATATTTTGAAAGGATTTCACTGCCTATGTTTCCCAGTTAATCCAGTTCTTTCTTTTCCTTATTTTTTCTTTCTAGAGAGATTTTTGCTATAGGGCACAGACACACAGAGACAGAGAGAGAGAGAGAGAGAGAAATCACCCCCCAGGTGGTATAACCACACCACAATCCCTTATATTCCAATCTTCTGTCAAGATTTGGGGCATGTATGCACACATGCCTGGTGTGAGTTTCAAGCCTCCAGGTCTAGGACTTGAACTGCAGTCAGCCAAGTGGGAGTCCAGTGCCTTAACCACTATACCACCTGCTGGCCTCTAATCCTGTTCGTTCTTGAACAAGATTTACTACTATACTCTTGCCTAGTAAAGAAGCACCCATGTGGAACTAAATCACTTTTCGAATTACAACAAAGTGTGTTGGCAATTTTTTAATTAAAAAGTAAAGGTGGGACCAGCAGTTAGCTTAATGGCTATGTTGCTGGACTCCCATGTAGTCGACTGCGGTTCAAGTCCCAGACCCAGTGGCTTAAACTCAGGCCAGGCGTGTGTGCATGCGTGCCCAAGATCCTGAGAGGAGAAGGGATTGCAGCGTGGCCATCCCCCCTGGGAGGTGATTTCTCACTCTCTGTCTCTCTCTCTTTCTGCCTTTCTGGCAGCAAAAACCTCTCAAAAAAAAAAAAAAAAAAGTAAAGGTACTATTTCTCCTTTCAACAGGATTTCTATACACACCTACGCAATACTAACTGAACAAAAAGGAGTGAATGAACTAATGAGCAATCTGAGTGAGCCTAGTTAATCACAAGACATTCAAAATTGTAGTTCCTGCTGCCACTATTAACAAATTTAGCAAATTTAGTTCTTATAAGCTTGCTTTTTTGCTATATTCAACAAAATTTGGCGTAGTCTTGGTATGTTTTATGTACTATTTCATATGACTAATTGATATTTTTATTAAATAAATAAAAACGAGCATGAAAGCAGTTGCTGGTTTTGCTACATTGATTGAGTCACCTTTATCTAATTCTTGATATCTGAACATTTTTTCCCATTATGTTTTCAAAGTCATTTCAATGTATTTTACCCCCCAGTAGTTCTTTGCAAAAAGGGTCATTGAGATTAGCATTTTTTGCCCAAAAGGTGTTTAACATCTCAATTTTATTACCCTCCATACAGATCTCAGAAAAAATGAAGATAAACTGAACCATCATCAGCGGATTGGTCTGAAGTAAGACAGCGAGTTTTCTCTCGACACTTGATAATTATAAGGAAAACATTTTATAGAAATTCTTTCATGTATCTTAATAATTATCTAAATTTAGCCAAACCATTTTTCTGTTCAGAAATGCTAAGGTTTGCTGCAAACTCCCGTAGAGTGCATGCCTGCATTTACGTGTTTTGTTTATTGCTTTCTTATTACTTGTTTGGAGAAGTTTCCTCCTCCTCTTGACTTGAGCAAGGAACTTCGTCTCAGAATACATCAGACTGGGTACATCAGACCGTCAGTGGGTATTTATTTCAGGTACATCATACAAAGCACCACACTTGGGCTAAGGCAAGGATATAAAGAAGGTCTATGTAGCTCTTAGAGTTTATAGTCCACCTGAAAAAGCAGGACGGAACCTGGAAAAGTTTAAAAAAGAGAGAGAGGAAAAAAAAAAACCCTCAAATACCTAAATAACAATATAGGAGTCTAGTAAGCCTAAAAAAAAAAAAAACCTCAAATACCTAAATAACAATATAGGAGTAACTAGTAAGCCTGTTTCTACATGAACATTCATAATTATTTTGTGCGCTAGGTAAAATCTGGAAACGCCCTTTTTAATTGATTGCTTACAGCAGCTAGTACATAAGCACGATCTGTATTTTCTGTTATACAGCCTTGGTGCTGGTTCAGTTCTGAAGGGTCCTGTTATGCCTTACCATATTTTAAACTTACACTTGTATTCAGAAATTATGAGCCCCCAAGAGACCAGAATGAGGTGGCTCTCACTTTCCTTGCTTTTACATAGCAAGCAGAGTTCTTCTGAAGAACCTAGCTTTTCTGAGAATTGGTTTTGAACAGGCACTTAATCTCGTTCTTAGAATAGGCTTAGATATTATTTCATACTGTTACTTCAGTATTTTCATGAAAGCCTCATTAAGATACAATTCTTATGGCACCCAGTACACCCAGTTAAAGTATACAATCCAGTGGTTTTGAATATATTCACAGTTGTGCGGCCGTGACGGGTCAGCTTTAGGACGTTTTCATTGTCCCCCAGGTTAACCTCGTACCCGTTAGCATCGTTCTCCATTCCTCTCCAGACTCCCCACCCTGCCCCCAGCCCTAGGCAACCACTAATCTAATTTCTGTCCTTATAGATTTGCTGATCTGGACATTTCATATACGTGAAATAATACGTGGTCTTTCGTTGTCTTGGTTCATCCTCATTGGATAATTTTTTAAATACGATATTTTTCAGGATTTAAAAGCAGTAAATTGTAACCCCTTGACTTGCCAGTAGAGAGCAGTCTACTTTGAAAACATGCACTAACTTAAATATGCAGTCTTTATTTACTCTTGCTACATGGAAATGAAGCTCATTTAAGATGAGTTTAGGTGAAGTCTTGAGAATCTTACAAAGGATGATTGTAAGGACTGTGATCCAGTTAAGGGAAAAACCACCCCTCCGCTTTCCCCACTCAGTTCGGCTGTTGTCTTACTGATTTGCAAGGGTCGTGAGGATGATCTGCTGGTATGAGGACACTGTTATGGTAGGCAACTTAATTTGTAAGATTTAAATTTTACAGGTATCTCTCATCACCTCATTCTGTCCTTATAGATATTTTGAGGACTTTGAGAAAAGAATCCCTCGTGAGGAGATGTTACAGATGCAAGTAAGAGCGCGCTGGGTTGTGTTCTTTGATTAGATGGAGAGGGTCACTGGGGGAGAGCCAGTTTGTGGAATACTGACTGACTTTTTCTTTATTAGGATATTGTACTAAACGAAGTGAAAAAAGTGGATTCTGAATACATTGCTACTGTCTGTGGCAGTTTCAGAAGAGGTAACATACTTCCTAATATTGAGTTAGTCATGACTTGTTGAAATTTTCCAATATAGATGAAAAAGTTGTGTTAAGAAAGGATAATTTGTGTTACTTCATAGACGTACTAAGGTCCAGGAGTATTAGCAAAGTCTGTCTCTAGAGAGGAATATATGTTACCTAGGGATAATTCATCCTGGTTTTATTGCAGGCTGATATTTTAGTGACTAAATTTATAAAATGATTTTAGGTCCATTAAACTGCTAATAATGGTTGTCTTTGGCTTAGTGTTAGGGAAATTATAGATAGTTTCATTTATTCAAAACTTTTTTTTCAAGTTTGCTGTAATGTAGGACTAATGTCATGCACCAGCTCAGAACCAGTTCTAACAGCAGCAGGTTCTTCAGAAGCTCTCTAGTTCCTCTGTGAATGCGAACAAAGTGAGAGCCACACGTCCGTGGTCTCTTACTGCCTTGTAAGTGTGTAAGGCTAATGTAAGTTAGGAAATACTTTTAAGACCGGAATAGAAAAACTTCACTTACATCTTTTTATAAGAAGATTCCTGGAGTGACTCCCTGACTATTTAGGGAGTTTTTGCCTAAGACGTAGGTGATGGGCTATTGGAAATACTCCAGGTAACTGCTATAAAATCTAGACTTAGGACAAGAATTGAATTCATGCTTGCCGATATGCAGAAAGAACATTGAATTAGGGTTAAAAGACCTGGGTTCTGGGGCTAAATCTCCTACTATATAGTTTTGTTTACGTGTTTCTCTTGATCCTAGTTTCTATGTTTACAAAATGAGAGGGTTGGAGTTAACCAGGTGTTCAAGTATGTCTGTGCATTGGAAGAAACATGTAGGGAGGTTTTATCACTGTTTTGCCATGGGGCACATATGCTCACTAGAGAAATACAGAGAAAGGGAAAGTGGGAGATCACTCCCCAGAGGAGATGGTCTTGCTGCAACCCCCTCTCCTCTTGGGACTTTGGGCATGCATGCACACACACACAGAGTGTTTTTCAAGCCACCAGGTCTGGGACTCAAACCACGCAGTTAGCCATGAGGGATTCTGCACCTTAACCACTATGCCACCTGCTGACCCAGGAAGTTTAAAACACACACACACACACACACACACATACACACATTCTTGTTCCCTGCTCCAAGCCTACTAAATAAGAATGTCTTTAGGTAGGACTTGGATTCTGTATTTGCAAAGTGTAAATTGTGATAGACAGCAAGCTAAATGCACACCCCATTGACTCTGACAACCTTCATGGACTTATTTATTTCTGTTTTATTTAACTTTATTATTATGTTATAGGAGAACATGCTTTAATATAAAAAGGTATACACAAAGAAGTCTTACTTCCACCCTACCTCAGTTCACTCTGTCCACACTTTTCCACCACTGTCCTTCAGTCACCACTTCTATGTTCCTTCTGTGTTTCCGCATGAAAACAACTAAGTATGAGTGCACATTCTTGATCTCTTTCTTCTCTTTCACAAGGCAATAGGCACAATGTCATACTTTGGTTTTGGTTTTGTTTTGTACTTTTACTTAAAAATAGATCCTAGAGATATTTTGATATCAGTATATAGAGAACTTCCTTATTATAAATACGTATATATTTTTAGGGATTTTTGCTATCGGGCACTTATGCTCGCTGGAGGGATGGAGAAGGACAGAGACAGAAAGCAAGAAATCATCCTCCATGTGGGATGGCCATACCACAATCTCTTCTCCTCCACTCTCCTCCCGAACTCTGGGCATGTATACACATGCGCCCGGTGTGAGTTTTAAGCCACCAGAGCTTATGCGCCCGGTGTGAGTTTTAAGCCACCAGAGAGCTTAGACTCGAACTGTGGTCAAATACATGGGAGTCCAGCAACGTAACTGTTACACCATCTGCTGGTCCTCCTTATTTTTTATAGCTGAATCACATTTTTTTTCTAATTGCCAGAGGGCATGTGCTCTTGCCAGAGGGAGAGGAAGAGAGAAAGCACCTACCTTAATGATTTGTGGTCACACTGTAGTCCTTTTTCCTCCATTTCTCCTTTCCATCAGGACTTTGGGCGTGCACACACACACACACACACACGCACACACACACTCAGCCAGTGTGATTTTCAAGCTGCTAGGGCCGGGATTCGAACTGTGGTCAGCCATGTGGATCTGGCTCCCTTAACTGCCGAGCTACGGGACCAGCCTGCTGTACATATCTGATTATGTGGATGTAATGTACTTCACTTATCTGGTTGCTTATTGATAGGCCCTAGGGTTATTTCTTTATCGCTCATATAGATTTTGGCTTTTTGTTGTTGTTGTTGTTAAGGATATAGAATAAAACATTTTTAATAGTAGCTGACTAAAGAAAGTCATTCAGACTTTAGAAGAAACAAATGAGAAGAAAAGACAATAGAATTTTCATTGTTAAAATATTGATAGCTTCCATGGATGTCCTGGTAGCAGTACACATTCAGTCTAGCCTTCTTTCTATTTAATTAGTTAAAGATTAATGATGTATAGAATGATGACGCAAAGACACCAACATTGAAGATCTTCAGTTACCAAAAGTCATTTTGCATACATGGTACTTATCAACATAGAAAGAGGAGAAAAAGGATTGTTTTATGCTAACAGTGCACAAGACACTTTACTAGGTGCTTTTACAGTTGTTCTTATTTAGGTGTTTTGCTTACGAAGTTTTTAGTGGTTTACATGTAAACTAAGAGGTCTAGTAGAATATAGTTTCCCATAATGCTTAGGAAAAAATAAAGACATTTAAAATGGAAAAACATTCCCACACATAGAAATAAAACTTCATAGTATATGGTGAAAGAAGGATTTAAGCAGCTATATAATATAAATTGCCTGAAGTTACGTGGTTGTAAGGTAAAGATTAAAACCCAAAGCTGGGTCTGCTCTGTGACTTGATGATTAGGGCAGCCAGATTCCACCTGGCCAACTCTGTGGTTTGAGTCCCAGACCCAGTGACTTGGGACACACATGGTCACATGTGCATGCACGCCTGCAGTCCCAACAGGACGAGTTGGAGGGGAGAGGATTGCAGCACCCCTTCCCCATGAAGGGTGCTTCCTCCTCCATTTTTCTCTGTTTCTCTCTTCCTCTTTGGCAAGTACATGTATTCTTGGGCAAAAAGTAAAAGAAAGAATCATGTCATTATATTAATATATTTTTTAAGTTAGTTTATTTCTTCCATGAGTAAGACAATGGGGGAAGGAGACAGGTGCAGCACCTGACTGAGCCCTGATGCTCAGTCCACTCCCGTCTGCAGCCAGCCTGGACCATGGACGGGCCGTGGGGGCTCACTCAGGGAGGGCTCCAGGCACGAATCTTGCCGTGTGGGCTGTCTTACGGAGCATCAAATTCTACCACAGTGTCACCATCTGGTCCCCCAAAACTCATCACTGTAAAGTGCTACATTCTCACCCATGATGCTGTGAAAGTAATTTTTTTTTTAAGAGAGATTTTTGCTATAGGGCATGTGCACTTGCCAGAAAAGCAGAGAGAAAGACAGAAAGCAAGAAATCACCTCCCGGGGGGATGGCCACGCTGCAATCCCTGCTCCTTCATTCTCCTTTTGGGAGCATGGGCACGCATGCACACGTGCCCAGTGTGAGTTGAAGCTGCCCGGTCCAGGACTTGAACTGCAGTTGACTATGTGAGAGTACAGTGATGTAACCACCATCTACTGGTCTCATAAAAGTAATTTTTACCAATATTTATTAAGTGCTTTCAATCATAAGAATTAAAATGAGTTTTCTGACTAACTTTTACAGAGGTTACTTATATTATTTGAGATTTTTTAGATATATAGTTTTTCATAAGAATTATTTTATTTATCTTTATTTATTTTAACTTGACCAGAGAGGGACAGAGTGAGATAAAGAAAGAGAGAGAGAAGAAAAGCGAGAAAGCAAGCCTCCAGGTCTGGGTCTCAAACCGTGGTCGGCCATGTGGGAGTCCAGCGCCCTTAACCACCACACCACCTGCCAGCCCCGTTCATAGGCATATTTTAAAGCTATTTTGAATAGTTTTTCCTTCATTGTTGAATGTTACTTAGGTGAATGTTCAACACGTAAATCGACCTCACACGTGCCCTGTCCCTCTAATGCCAGTCACTGTTGTTATCCCAGACTCCGTTGTCTACATGGATGCACAGGAAATGGAAACCCTTTCGTTCTGAATGTGCAGCACGGTGAAGTAGAGTTAGGCTGTAAGAAGTAAGGCTCTTCTGTGTGCACCCTGAGCTCGGGTCTGTGTCTGTGTGACTGTGGCTTTACACGGAGTCCCTTGCGTGTCCCGGCTTCTAGGTGCAGAGTCCAGCGGTGACATGGATGTTCTTCTGACTCATCCAAGCTTCACTTCGGAGTCAGCCAAGCAGGTACCTCAAAGCTTAGAATCCAGTGTGATCCAAATTACACAGCAGTGAACATCGTTTTCTAAACGACAGTTGGGTATTTTCAGAATGAGACTTGTTTTCATCTTTCTGGGAAATTGGCTGAAGTCATTCCTACTGATTGACTTCTATGAAATGCAAAGTAAGTTGTTGAAAGGGGGATACACATAGGTTTTCTCCGAGGCCTGGAAAGACTTTTGAAAGAAATGGAATTTAGTAAAATATTTCCAGAAATATTTATTATCTACCATAAATATCTAGAAATACTCAGTATAATTTTTCAGATTTTCATTAAAGGAGTTTTTCTGTTAAAAAATATTGAGAAACTTTACCTCTATTAGAAAACCCTTGAAGGCAAAATATTTTTTATTTTTAAGGTGTAAGCCTTTTAAAGATGAAGCAGCTAACTCTGATTTAACGAAACAGGTAAACACAAATGATGTTTTTCAGGGTGTCATGATATTAATGAAAAAGAGTGGAAAATATGTTTCATTTGATAAGATGACTTTTCTGTTAAAGTTGAAAAAAAGTACTTACTCAGAACAGAAAAGAAAACAAAGAGATTTCTCCATAATCAGAAAACTCCTATGCAAAGCGTTTTCTTTCCATAATAGAAAATTTCCTCTTTTCTTGTTCTCTACTTGTATCTCCATAGCCAAAGCTGCTACACCGTGTTGTGGAACAGCTACAGAAGGTCTGCTTCATCACAGATACCCTGTCAAAGGGCGAGACAAAGTTCATGGTGAGTCCTCACCTCGGCTACCACAGCTGAGAAAGACCCTGGGGACTCCTGAGTGACCATTCTGTGTGTGCGACTCCATTGTATTAATAGATGTGTAGTGCAGTCAACAAACAGGATGCCCTGGGGACCTTAAGAGAAAAACAAGTCGAAGGATGGCTGATTCCCGTAGTTACTCTCAGACTATCTGAGTAAAGAATTTTCTTTTTGTTTACTCACTTGTAAGGCTGGACCCATAGCCCAGTGGGTAAAGGAGCCAGATCCTACATGGCCAACTGCAGTTTGGATCTTGGCTCTGGCTCCTTGAAAAAAACACCAGGTGCATGTGCATGCATGCCCCAATCCTGGCAGGACAGAGGAATGGAGGCAAGGGGATTGCGGCTTGACCATGCCCGACTGGAAGGTGCTTCTTCTTCACCCTCTCTCTGGTGATTTAAAAAAAAACACACCCTCATTTATAACTAATCTATGCCATCAGAATAATTACACTTTCTCCTTTCGAAAATATTCATAATGACTTTGACACAGTAAGTTTTCCCTAAAATATCAAATGGTTCTCATATTCTCTGACTCAGAATTCTTCAATAAGTGAAGCTAGAATTGATTGAAGACTCTTAACTTATAACACCAAAGAAAAGGCATCAGGAGAAAACAGGTCATGTGGGTTGGATAAATAAGGATATTAACAGAGCTCCAGGCTTCCAAAAAGAACGTGTCTGCAAAATGAATTCACCTTATATAGAGCAATAAACCAATCTCATTCCGATCCACTGGCTTCTAGAGCTTCTCATTGCTGTAACTAGTTCTAAACACATGTGTTGTTCAAATCATCCTCAGGACATGCATTCCTTTCAACTAATAATAATTAAACCTTAGGACAACTAGGTTTATTCCAGATCATCTTGTAAAATCATGCCTTTTAGATAATTGAGCTGTTCTTCCTGTGAATATAATACTTGGAAGAGAAAACACTTTTCCTCTGCATTTAACTGTATTTGTTTTCAGTTAAGACAGGTAAACGCAAATGATGTTTTTCAAATTTTAGTACTTTTGCAAGTTTGGCCTTGGGTGGTTTTCTAAGAAATATCCCCAGTAAGACAAGGGACAATAGAAAAGACCTTGACTATCCTGAGGAAGTGAAGGAGACTTTGTTTCAGACACTCAACCCAAAACGACCTAATTGAATGCCAAACAAAACTAATCCACTCCATCTAATAAAGAATTTACATTAATACAGAGGAATTGTTTAACATTAGCACTTCAGAAAAAGGGCAGGAAGTAAAATTAGCCTTGGGGAAAGGAACAAAGCCATTAGATGAAATCCTATTACTGATGTGACAAATGATGGTTGCTGTGGCACCCAGACACCCATATCCACCAGGTAATGCCTCCTGGTGATTCCAGGTGGAAGTCAGTTCTGATCCATTCGAAGGGGAAGTTGAGTTAGAACTTGTTAACTCTTATGAAGGTCGGTTTTATGTTTTAAAGCTAAACATGTTTCATTAATCTTTCAGCCACAGGAACAGCCAAAGACTCGGTTTAGATTATTTTTTTAAAGAACAGAATCTTTCTAAAAAATATTTTTTGTAAAAATAGATTTTTTTCTTAAAAGGAGGTTTATTTCTGTTTTTGTTTTCTAAAAATGCAACTGCTCGGGACCAGCAGTTAGCGTAATGGCTATGTCGCTGGACTCCCACGTAGTTGACCGCGGTTCGCGTCCCGGACCCGGTGGTGGCTTAAACTCACGCCGGGCGCGTGTGCGTGCATGCCCAAGATCCCGAGAGGAGAATGGAGGAGAAGGGATTGCGGCGTGGCCATCCCCCCTGGGGGGTGATTTCCTGCTTTCTATCTCTCTGTCTCTCTCTGTCTGTCTGGCGAGC